CAAGGTCGTTCCTCTGCATCTTTTGCCACAGCGGCCTCGAGTCGATACCGCACAGCGCCTCGGCCTCCTCGTCGTCGACGGCGCGGCACTGCGACTTCCACAGGCGTGTGGCGATGAGCTTGACGATGACGGTGATGGGGATGAGCACCGCCGTCATGCCAATGTAGACCGGGCCGGGACGGATGACGGAGAAGAAGATGAGAAGTACCGCCTGCATCACCACGATGGCGTCGAGGCTGTAGCGCAGCAGCCTGGTGTAGTAGATGACGCCCTCCATCTCGTTGAAGCGGCGATAATAGTGGTACGCAAAGTTCTTCTTGAAGATGACCAGGGCCAGTGCGAGGTAGACGAGCGCAAAGGGTATGATGAGCGGATTCAGCAGGGCAAAGATGAAGACGATGGCCATGATGTTGATGTGGAGCGGCAGCCAGTAGTACCTGTTGAAGTTGCGCGGCAGCGTCTTGATGGCTCGGAGCCTGGGCGTGGCGGCCTTGCGAGCGCCCCAGTGCTGGAGGAGCGCGATCATGAATCCCATGTGTTCGAACCCCGACTGGAGCGCGAGCTGGAGGATGAGGTATGAGACAAAGAAGGGCGCGGCACTTGGAAAGGCGAAGCCAATGTCGTTGACGATGGTACTCGGGCTTCCGACCTTTGTGAGCACGGTAACGATGACGGTGGCCCCAACGCTGAAGAAGATGACGACGTTGCAGATGACAAACTTCCAGTACCTCGCGAGGCACATGTCGTAAAGCGAACTGAATGTGACGAAGCCCTGTGCGCGCTTGCTGACCTGGAAAATAAGCTCAGGCACGGACATGGAGGCGAGCGAAACAAGCAGCGGCGGCAGCGTGACGGTGACAAAGGCGGTTAGCTTTCGGTTTGCGTTGAAGAACTCGCCAAGGCCGGGAATTGCCTTGAGCTTGTCAACGCTGAACACACCGAGCACGATAAAGTTGACGATGATGACCCAGAAGATGGTAAAGGCCCAAGTGACGACGCTGACACCAAAGCCGCGAACGACGTCGCCGGTGAAGGATGTCTTCATGAGGCGATCCCAGTCGAGGTCCTTGACTTCAGGTGCGAGGCGGACCTTGACGACGATCTGGTCGTTGAGCTCGCGCCACACCATGCGCGCCTGACGCGGGTCGCGGAAGGTGACAAAGGCGGTCGAGGTGGGCTCGTAGCTGGTGGGCGGGCGCGAGCGCATCTCGGTGACGAGCGCGGTGAGCAGGTTGAGCTTGGTGAGCAGATAGTCGATCGTCGGAACGGTCTGGCCGCGGAAGAGGGCGGAAAGCCGTGTGGCAGGCTGGAAGGGGTCGAGCAGCCCTCGCGGGAGGTCGCTGAGTGCCTCCCAGACCGTCTCGGGCATCTCGTGTACACCGTCGGCGTTGGTGTCGTCGATCTGCTGCGCCTGTTTTGCGTGCATGCCTCGGTTGGTGGGAGAGAAGCGGGCGAGTCGCCTGGCGAGCTCCTCCTCGAGCGCCTTGCCTGCGGTGGATTGGCGTGCTGGCCCGAGCTTCTCGAGGTCCGGGTCGAGCGTCTCGGAGGGCGTCGAATCGCCGGAGGTCGCGTCGCTTCCGTCCTGAGCGTGGCCAGAGTTCTTGTGGCGGCTGAAGAGACGGCGCGCCGAGGAAGCGACGCGTTTGACGCCGTGAGGATGTTGCGCCTCGGCGCCCTGGGCCTGCTGACGCTCGCGTTTGCGCATCTTGAGGGTGCGTCGGCCGACGGTGACGAGCACCTCTTGTGCGAGCTTGATGTGCGCCGCTTCGAGCTGGGTGAGCACCTCTTGTCGACGCGCGAGCATGGAAGCGAGTTCGTTCATCTTGCGCACTAGCACGACGGTCTGTACGGGGCTCTTGAGATGACGGTCTGGGTGGAGGTCGGGCTGAGGACCGCTCGGCGCGTCGCTAAGGGCCGACGAGTAGGCCGCCGGTGGCTGGATGCGGTTCGGGGTGGCAGAAGCGTTCTGGTCCGAGTCGGAGGCCGAGCTGTGGTGTGGCTCGTAGTCGTTGGCGGGCGATGGTGCGTCGTCGGCCTCGTGGTCTTCGTCGGGCCGCAAAAACTCTTCAAAGTAGCGACGGATGCTGGCCTCGTCACGCATTGTGCCGGGCAGGTTCATGACCATGAGGGTGCGTTGACGCCATCCGTCGCTGTTGTCCGAAGCAAAGCCCTGCGCGGAGGACATGGCCTGGTGCGGATCTCGTTCGAGCGGCTGCTCCGGGGGAGGGATAACGCGGGCCTTTTGCTTTGCCTCGATGACCTTTTGGCGCGTGCGTTCGATCTGCGTTCTGCGCACGCGGAGGGAGCCTCTGCCGATCCACCATAGCGCGAGCATCCATGTGATGGTGAGGTACCAGAGGAGGGTGAGGTGAATCCAGAGGAGCGAGCGGCCCTGCTCGTTTGCGATGGTCTTGCACTTTTCGGTGCCGTAGATATCGCACCCAGGCTGGGGCGTGGAGACGAGATAGGAGAGCGAAGCTCTTGCCATGTCGGTGGACTGCACGCCGCGACTGAAGTGGATATGGATGGCTAGGAGGATGGGGGCGGTGGTGAGGCTCTGGAGGAGCACCCAGTAGAGGCAGGCGCGGAGGAAGCGTACGTAGACGACGGTGTCCATGCCGGTGTGCTGTGCGTAAAAGTCGTCTGTAAAGGAGATGGCGCGCTTGACCCAGGCGAAGGGCCAGCGTGGGAGTGGCGGGGATGGTGTGGACGCGTGAAAGACGCGCGAATGGTAGAAGTGGCCCATCTCCCAATCCTCGCAGGTGTCCTTTTGGCGTTCCTGGGCCGGATTGTCGTGGACGCCGCCTGGCGGATGGCGACGTTGAGCATCTTTGCGCCAGAACTTGGAGAAGCGGGTGCGTGGTAGACGTCTGAGCTGTCGCAGCGACTCATACGTAATTGCGGAGACACCGCCGACAGCAGCGAAGATGACGCAGGTGGTGACCAGGCCCTGAAAGCTGGTGTTGGGCTTTTTGTTTACGAGGTCGGCCATGGCTGGTGGTTATATATATGTTGCAGCCGGATCGATGAGTATGGCGATGGGAGAGGGGCGAGAGAGAGAGCACAGCTCAGCGCATGGCGGCGGCGGCGAGAAGAGGCGCGAGACTGCGAGTGGCTGGATGCCCTTATGAGAGAGCACCGTGGCTTGCGATGGATCAATAGCGGCCGAGCCGATGGGCTGAGTGATGGCTTCGGCTGATCCGATCGCAGCGCGGTGGTGTTGGCGGTGGTCAAGCCGAGATGGAGCAAGAGCGAGGCGCGAGCGGTAGGATGTGGATGTGATTGCGAAGGAAGCTGCTGCCCCTGATGCTATCGAGTAAGTGAGAGCGAGTTGAGAGAGACTGGACGGCAACAACACACACTCACCCACACCTGCTGCACGCGCAAAGTGGGGCTGCAGTGCGTGCGTCTGTGTGAATTCGGTGAATCATGCGCGACCCGACCAGAGACCCCGTTCGTGTGTCCGTCGGAGTGTCCGATTTTGGAAAATGAGCGGACCCACACGCACACCCGCACTCCAACGCCCACACACAAAGGGGAGGGAGATGCGGGCTTGGAATCTCGCGAGCAGATCGGTGGGCGGGGCTGTCATGCACGAAATCTGTGCTTTCCATGCCGCTCCTCGCTGCTCACCAGCTGCTCTCAAGCGATCCCGACAGCACACACACACACGCACACACACACACAGAGCAAGCTCAATGGCATGGCCACACCCATGCCGGCTTATCGTCGGAGCTGATCCGACCGATAGCTTGGCCGTGTGACAAGCCAAGAGGGTCCACAGTAGCGGCTCAAGCCATCGTACCCGAGTGGCCCCATTCTCGACACCTCGCCGGTGGAAAAACACACAGGGGCCAAGGGGCGGCTCGCTTGGCGCGCTTGCGGTGTTGCGGAGCGGCCAGGCGTTACGTCGTTGTGCAGGGACGTCGGCCACGATTAGCGACGACTACGTTTGTTACGACTGCATCATAGTCACATTTCAGCTCAGATTAATCGGCGATGGATGCCTCGATCCCGATGCAGCCCTCTGAAGCTAGCGAGCACGTTCGAGTTAGGCTTGCATTCGTGCTTGGGCGGTGCATCGTTCGTGCTCGCTCGCTCGCCAATGACGACAGCAGCCCCTTGGCCCGTTGCAAAAGTGAGAAGACTCAACCTTCAGCTCGACAGGCCATCCCTTGGGCCACAATGCGGTGATGGTTGAGCTTGTTTGGGATTGCGATCGGATCGTTCCGTTGCCGCAGTCGGTCAGCGCTTCTCACGCCAACCCGCAGCAGGCAGAGGAGCCAAGACGGGAAGCGCGGGAAGGCGGCCCAGCCGATGCAACGCGCCCATCTAAGCCGTTTTGACCGCGAAAACAGGGCCGAATTGAGGTCAAGTGCCGGGTGACTGACCTGCGCCGTCCGCTGTTTCTTTATTCCAGGGTCTCCATTTCTAGAAAGCGGATTGGAACGCTGAATTTTTTTTTGCTTTTTTTTGTGAATTGACCTGCAGCTGAACCCGTGACGCTGCGAGGCGGTGGAGGAGGCGACGACGAAAAGGTGCTGCGCTGGCGCGGTGCGGATCGAGTGGAACCGAGGCAGATGGCGTGCGTTTGTGCAAAATAAATCCCCTCGCTCTCTCTGTGAGTTTGGGCAGCGCAGCGCAGCGCAGCGCAACCCAACGTGTCCAACACGCCTCAGCCTCCCGCTCTCATTTCTCCCTCTCCACCACCACCATCCCAGCTTTCCTATCGCTGTCCCAACCTTTGGCGTCTTTGCCCCTCATCTAGGCGCAAAACGCTCGTCCTGATTCTTTCGTATCTCCAACAGATCGAAAGTCAGGCCCCAACCCCATTCTCCCCCAACTCTCCGTCTCTCTCTCTCTCTCTCTCTTTTCAAAAACTTCGACACAATGCGCCCCCAAGCCATCCTGCCAGACGCCCTCTCCGCCGTGGGTGAGACGCCGCTCATTCAACTGAACNTCTCTCTCTCTCTCTCTCTCTTTTCAAAAACTTCGACACAATGCGCCCCCAAGCCATCCTGCCAGACGCCCTCTCCGCCGTGGGTGAGACGCCGCTCATTCAACTGAACCGGATCCCACACGCAGAGGGCATCAAGTGCAACGTCATGGTAAAGTGCGAGTACTTCAACGCCGGCGGCAGCGTCAAGGATCGCATCGCCCGTCGCATGCTCCTCCAGGCCGAACAGGACGGCACGCTCATCCCGGGCAAGTCGATCGTCATCGAACCCACCAGCGGCAACACCGGCATCGGCCTCGCCCTCGCCTGCGCCATCCGCGGCTACCGATGCATCATCGTCCTCCCCGAGAAAATGTCGGCCGAAAAGGTCAACACGCTCCGTGCGCTCGGCGCCGAGGTCATCCGCACGCCCACCGAGGCCGCCCACGACGATCCGCGCTCCAACATCATGGTCGCACGTCGCCTCCAAAAGTCCATCCCCGACGCCGTCATCCTCGACCAGTACAACAACCCTAACAACCCCACCGCCCACTGGGCCACCGCCGAGGAGATCATCGAGGCCATCAAGGCCGGCCCCGCCCCGCCCTCTTCCACCTCGCTCCTCCACGGCATGGGCAGCCTCTCGCTCACCGCCGGCAAGGACGAGCCGCTCGACGCCAGCGCCAACGCTCGTCCGCTCACCCCGGACTCGAACCGCGGCGCCGACGAGCCCAACGGCTCCACCCACACCTACTCGGACAAGGTCGACGTGCTCGTCGCCGGCGTCGGCACCGGCGGCACCATCAGCGGCATCGCCTCGCGCCTCAAGCGCGCCGACCACAACCCCGACTGCTACGTGCTCGGCGTCGACCCCATCGGATCCACGCTGGCGCTGCCCGCCTCGCTCAACACGCTGCCCGAGGACTGCGACGGCTCGTACAAGGTGGAGGGCATCGGCTACGACTTTGACCCCAACACGCTCAACAAGGCGGTCATCGACGAGTGGACCAAGACCGAGGACGAGCAGAGCTTCGCCTATGCGCGTCGCCTCATCCGCGACGAGGGCATCCTCGCCGGCGGCTCGTCGGGCGCTGCGGTCAACGCCGCGATCAACTGGCTCAAGCCCGGCGGCGCCGGCTGGGACAAGTTTGGCTCGCAGCCGGGTCTCAACGCCGTCGTTGTGCTGCCGGACAGCCTGCGCAACTACATCACCAAGCCGTGGCTCGTGTCGGACGCCAAGCCCGAGCGTCGCGAGGCCGAGATCGACTTTGACAACTTCCAGTGATCTTCTCCTTATCCCTACAAAGCTGGTCCACATCAACCTTCAACAACTCTCTAGGCGAACGTCTTGAATACCTGAACCGGGATGCGGAGATGGAGTAACAGAGGGGGTCGGACCTCTGTTCTTGCAATACCCATGCGATGCTCTTTTCGTCCCGGTTCGCCATGCTTCCATACCCTTGACCATCGTCCCCTTTCCCCTTTTTGCCCCCTTTTCCTTCTTTCTTGCTCTCGCCTACGATGGTCAATTCCCCTACCTTTCCCCCCTTTTGTGCTGTGGTTCGCTTCATACTCCCGCCCACCTCTTTGCCACTCTGGTGCAGGGTGCGTTCCAGTCATCGTTGTCTTCAGCGGTGTTGGATGTGCTCCCTGCGTGTCTTTATCGAGCCGGCCACCTTGTCTTTCCTGGGCCTGGTCTCGACACGTTTATCTTTCATCCCATCTCGATCCTCACTCCCGTGCTTCCCTCACTCTCTTTCTCTCTGCATCAGTCTCTCTCGCTTTCAACACTGCATCTCTGATCTACTTTCATCGTTCGCAACCGCATCCATTTGCATCTGTACAACTCCGACATGTTGTAATACTACCAGCTAATCTACTCCTCGCCCAATCATCGATGGGCTATTGTGTGCGAGGTGAGACCGAAGGGTGATAAGGTGGGATGTGGGGGCGCGACGGACGGACGGGTGGGCTGAGATAGGGAGAGAGAGAGGCGCGCGCGTGGCGCGGCTATTGAGCGAGGCTTGACGAATTTGTGGAACAGCGTGACCTCGCACTGTCTGCCTTTTTCCCGTGCGAATCGGAGCGCGGCAAGATAAGCGCGCGGCAAAAGCGCTGGGCGAGGGCGACGAGTCAGGAACGCAAGGGTCTGGGCTCAGGTCTCGTGGGCACAAATTGGCTCAATTGGCAGCGTCGATATCGCGCGACTCTCGACGCGCTCGAAAGCTCGTCAAGAAGTGCGCTTTAACCGCTCGCTCTCGTTTAACGCGCGCTTCGTTTAGCGCCCGCTCTCCCCCTCGACGAGCTTCGAATCCCGAAGCTCTCTCTCCCTCTCTCTCTCTCGAGGCCGTCCCTTGTTATCCGATGCTGCACATGCTGCACGATGTAGCGGGCGAATACCCCGCACTTTGTCTCCACG